CTACTTTTAAGGCTTTGAGCTTGTACCCTGGTTTGCCGGGGCCCTCAGGCGTTTGTCCACAGACCGAAGGCTGGACTGTCAGCCTCCCTACTTTTAAGGTTTTGGGACTATGACCCACCACTGGCTTTCTTACTCCTCAGCTTGCAAATGGCCCTATCGTGGGACTTTACCTTGTGGTTGTGGAGTCAACTCTCCTTAAACTCCCTCTCAAATATACATATATCCTATTCGTTCTGTCCCTCTGAAGAAACTGAATACACCCAGGTTCTTTCCACGGCCTCCTAATTCAGAGACTCTTAAGCTGGCTTTCAAGATGCAAAATTTTTAATAAGTACCCATTATGATTTTCACATACATAGAAGGTGGCAATCCCTATTTTAGTGAATAAGTTTAAAGAGGTAACTTTCTCCATCAAAAAATTTACTACCTATTTCATAATGTGATTGATGTACCATTGTTTTTATATTGCTCTCTGCTGTACAGGACCGAGATGCTACATGTGATTATTTTCTTATTTATTTTCCATGTCTATAAAAATCCACAGAGGCCTCAGTTCACTTTGGGTGTATCAGTCCATATACCATGCAGACTTTTAAATCTTACCCCGTTGTCTAAAACTCAGTTTTCCCATCTTCTTGATTTGTCTCAATCCCCAGTGAGTTATGCCAGCTATAAGTATTGGCAGCAGTGAGGGCTGTATAACATACCCAGGCCTCTCGAGCACCCCTTGAAGAACTTGTAAGATTTACTTAGTATGTAGAGCAGGTCCTAATTCTCCCGAGCTAACCTCCTGTGGCCAGCTTACTGGAGCTGTGAAATGGAGATGCTTCATTGAGAGTGGAAAGGGAACGTGTAATTGTCTTTCATCTCCCCTGCCCACCATTCCAAATGTGACAGCAAGGACTGGGATTTCAAGAGTAAAGAAGGTGGCATTTTGTGTTTCAGATGCCTCGATTTTTGTCACACTCAAGCTTCCTGTGAGCTGATCCCTTTCATGCTGTTTAGAGGTTGACTTCAAAACTACAACTAATTAAAAGTGGAAAATGTTGTGTCTTTTGAACGTGAGTACTACTTTAGAGATGAGAGAGGTAGATGCCCTAGATTTAAAGTGATTTGCTTTTAACTCTTTGGCCAAATTGAGCATCATAGTGCGTTACTAGTAAATACAGCTCAGATTTTTTCTATGAAGATAGATTTTAATTTTCTCTCTGGATCTAACAAAGTGGTATATCTCTTGTCTCCAGGGTGTTTTTCCCATGGACATTCATATAATCTGAATATTAAAAAGAAAACACTGTGGAGGTCTTTGGAAGGGTATGCATAGGTTGGAATCTTAGTTAATAGAGCTCAGTGCTACCACAGCTATAGCATATTGAAAAGCATTTAATTAAACATTGTTCTCCAAATAGTTTGGAGTTACAATTTTGACTCTCAGTGAATACAGCCAGCGTGCAGCAGGTTCTCTGACTTAGCCAAGGTGTTTGCCAGTGGGGAAGGGCACAAGGCAGGGTCAATGGCACAGATGAAGCAGCTTTTGAAGTAACATCTGTAGAAGGCAAACGTTGCTGCCTATTGCCAGCAACTCTTGAGAACAGCAGTTCAACCTGCGTTACATATACTGTTTAGGTTAAATCACAATTTTATATAGAAACTTGTAGGGCAACCATGCCTTGGGCCAAGAAAAGCAATATAGTGTACAATAGATGGTTCCTTTTGCTAATGCAGTGAGGGTTAGCATTCAAAGAATAGGTATGATTGAAATTGTTCTGTTATGGGCACAAATCATAAAAGGTGGATGAGAGAAGCGTGTTAACATCCAGAATGCTAGCTATGTACCAGACATAAAATGACCTTTTCATGTTTCATTGAATGACATCTTTACTTTCCCATGTCAAAGTAAACAACTGTTTGTTAGGATTCATATTTAAGTGACATCAAAACTGAGAAGAGTTAAGCTGCCAAAAATCACAGGTTGTAAGTGCCTGAATCCAGGCAGGACTGGCTAGAAAGACACCTCACGAATCCTTCACAGCCCTTTCACCAGTGTTCTGCTTCCTCTCAGGGATATTGGGGCCAAGTCTGAAAATGTATCAAAACACACCGAACTTTTCGCAGTGGTCTGCCTAGTGGTCATCTTTGTTTATTTCTTTGGCAAGAATCATAGTGTAATCTGCATAATCAGTATATGTACTTTTGTAGAAATAAAATTTGGCAGAATTCTTACCCTGAGCAGTGAAAAGATTCTGGTCTTTTATTCAGAAAGAATACAAAGGGAACGGTGTCCTTGAGCAGGTTACTTTGTAAACCTCAGTTTTCTCTCCTGTAAATGGTGATGATAATAGAAACCTTCACAATTGTGGAATGAATTAGAAATATGTAAAGGGTCTAGAGCAGTGTCGGACATACAACAGCAGCTTCTAAAATGGGAGCAGCTGTTACTAACATGCATGAGAATTGGTTGGACACTGCTGCTATGTCCTTTGCAGACAGCGATCGCCGAGCTTCTAAGTCTTATTTACCTGTTCTTACACTGCAAGATAAATCAGATGATCATATCCATTGGGCACGGTAATGACAATTCAAGTGTTCTTTACTTACCTATATAGGGTAAGTCAGTAAACATTTAAAGACAAAAATTGGCTGTGTATATTTATATTTTCTGCAAGATTTCAGATACTTTTATAATGGTGAATTCTGCCTAGTTTCATGAAGAGATGATTTTCACTTAAATGAATTTGGCTATTTCAAACATTTACAGTGGAATACTCATATAAAGAACAGTAAATACCTACCAGATTGATCAGCTCAGTGGAGATTATCAAGATTTTGCCACATTTGTCTTTTTATCCCCATTTTTGCAGTAAGTTAAGGAAAGTCCTGGACATGTTTCTCCTATGGCTTTCAAAATGCATCTAAAAGCACTTTCCTCCATATGACATTATAGCACATCCAGTCAAACTAGCAGTAATTTTTTGTTATCCAGTCATCAGTCCACTATCAAATTATTCCGGTTATCCCAAAGACTGGGAAAAATCCTGCCTTAACACAACGTATTAACACAAATCCCACAGGCTGCATTTAGTTAAGTCCCTAAAGCATTTTTGTTTTTGAATCTAGAGCAGACTCTTTTCCCCTAAGGCCCCTTCTTTTCATGTCATTGACTTGTGTAGAAACTGGGTCACTTTCTGCAGAATGCGCCACGTTCTGGATCTCTGTCTTTACTTCCTTGTGACATTTAACTGGTTTTCTCTATTTCTTTATTTCTTAGAAATGGAGGTTACCTCTATCCTAGAGGGTTGATTATATTTAGGTGCAACTTTTTTTTGGCCAAAGATATTCAAAGATGATTCTAGGTGTTTCATGAAAAGGCCACAGAAGCTGGTTGTCCTAGTTTCCGTGATGCTGTGAGTAGTTCAAGGTACTGACAGACTTCTGCTGATAGTCACCGGTGGATATGATTTCATTAGGGGTACAAAGTGGTGAATTTCCAATTCTGTTCCTTTTTTCAAAGCAAAGCTTCATTGAGGAGTCATTGACATACAATAAACTGCACAAATTTAAAATGTATAATTTGAAAAGTTGACATAGCTACACCTGTGCAGCTGCTATCACACACAAGAAAATGAGCGTGTTCATCACCTTTCAAAATCTCTATGCTTCTCGATAATCCTCCTCAGCCCTCCTTTCTGCCCCCATTCCCAGGAACCTGATCTGCTTTCTGTCTTTATCAGTTAATCTGTATATTTCTTATTTTTATCTAATGCTCATCTTAAGTGAAATAATCATGGTTGATAAAAAATTTTAGGAAAATGAGGCTGGGCATAGTAGCTCACACCTGTAATCTCAGCCCTTTGGGAGGCCGATGTGGGTGGATCACTTGAGATCAGGAATTCAAGACCAGCCTGGCCAACATGGTGAAACCCTGTCTCTACTAAAAATAAAAAAATTAGCCAAATTTGATGGCATGTGCCTGTAATCCCAGGTACTTAGGAGGCTGAGGCAGGAGAATCACTTGAACCCAGGAAGCAGAGGTTACTCTGGGCCCAGATTGTGTATATTTATATTTTCCAGCCTGGGCAACAGAGCGAGAATCTGTCTCAAACATACAACAACGAAAAATGGTTTGTCATTCAGCACATTCATTTTAGAAGTTAAAATCTTCTTCTTTGTTACCTGTGAACGGCATGTTAAGTTTTCTGTTACTGGGTAGTGTGTGATTGCTACAGCAGACGGCAGGGGAGTGAAATGGCTCTAGAGCTTCCCAGCACTTCTTGGGCACTAGCTTTTCTCCATGAAAGTTATTCGACTAATATTTTTTTCCCCTACAAATTTTTTGGATATTCAGAATCCAAATGGTAATATTAATAACTGGATTAATTATTCCCCTTTATTACCTTAACTACTCAGGCCTGGCTGCTTATATTACCGTAAAATATTTAATTGCTGTCATCTACACAAAGTGTTTTTCCCCTTTATTGAAACTGTGAGTTAGTTTTTCCTTCTAGTTCTCAGATTTTAATTAATCTTTAACTACCTTATAAAGAGCAGAGTACAATGTGTTATCTTTCTTCATTTGCAAGGCATGTGAATTGTAGAGTAAAGATACCTGCTTCAGTAGGACCAGTGACCTTCAGGCAGTTCTCCTCAATTCTTAGCCCAAGGAATATGTTATACTCAAATGTATGGCTCATACAGATTGTTGTGCTATCCTGGAAAGACATAAACTTGATAAATGGTCAATGAAATGCTGCAACTATTGGAAAAGGTGGGCCAGGTGTGGTGGCTCACACCTGTAATCCCAGCACTTTGGAAGGCCAAGGTGAGTGGATCACATGAGGTCAGGAGTTAGAGACCAGCCTTGCCAACTTGGTGAAGGCTCATCTATACTAAAAATACAAAAATTAGCCAGGCATGGTGGCACACACCTGTAATCCCAGCTACTTGGGAGGCTGAGGCAGAAGAATCACTGGAACCTAAGAGGTGGAGGTTGTACTGAGCCGAGATTGCACCACTGTGCTGCAGCCTGGTGACAAAGCAAGATTTCATCTGGGGAAAAAAAATCTCATAGTTAAGTAGGAAACAAGTGACTTCAAAATGGGTGTAACATGAATGTGATGACAGCTGAATTTTTAAAATTCCCCAAACTCTTCTTTTAAACAGACCAACAAGGATAATAAAGGAAAAACTCACAGATATGGCAACATATTGATAAGGAATTCTTGCAAAACACCAGAATGTATGTGTGGCCGAATTACCAACAGCAGTGGGAACTGTACAAGGTTAACAGCTTTGTTGCAGTGAAGAACAAGAAATAAAAAGGCAAAAATGCCAAAAATATTACTCCTGTCCCTTAACTGACTGCATAGTTACTCTCTAGCTCCTGGTAATGCTTTATTTTTGTCTTAGTCTGTTTGTCTGATATTAATATCACTTACCAATTTCTTTCATTGAGTATCTCATATATTATCCACTTCTTCAGTTTCAACATTGCTGTCTCTGTGCATTTTTCATGTGACTTACGGAAAGAGAAGCTGTCTGGAAGCAGGACAGATAGTGTTATTCTGCACCGCCATCCTAGTTATGACCAGCGTAGTTCTATTAATTGGCAAATCCACTCTGATTGGTCAGTACCTGGACTATGCTAAATGTCAAATATTTGCAATATCCCTAGCAGAATTTTATTTTTTTAATGCAATATAACAATCTTTGTCATTCAAGTAGAGAGCTAAGTCCATTTATATTTGTTGTGATTAATACTTTTTTCCCCACCTTATTATGTGGTTTATGTTTATCTCATTGTTTTATTTCTTTCCTTCCTTTCCTGCTTTATTTTTTTACCTAACTGAGGCTTTCTCCTACTTTACCTCATGTTTTTTCTTCTCAGGAATTAGTTTTATGCCTATTTTAAAAAATGAGTTTAAAGATTATTTTAACATGTATATTTGACAAAATCTAAGTTAATGTGTTTACCCTCCTCAAATCAAGGGCTGAAGAAAGTTCAAATTCACTCATCTCCTTCCAACTTTATATGATTTTCCCCAATATTTTAATTCTATCCTGACTCCCTGACCTCCAGATTCAGCATTATTGTTTTATACAACTAATAACAGTTTAGGTTACTCACCTATTTACCAATTTCTTTGCTTATTATGCCCCATTACATTTTAAATGTTACAGCTGCATTCATTTTCCTTCCTCATGACGTCAATCCTTGGGAAGTTCTTTCAGTAAAAATGTGTTGATAATAAACTCTTGGTTTTTATTTATGTGAAGATGTCTTCACTTTGGTCTCATTCTTGAAACTCTTATTCCTCATAGACTTCTAGGACAGTATTTATCTCTCAGACGTAATTCTACTACCTTATGCTTTTAGCATAGCCATTGGACTATTACCTGGAAGATGATCTTTTCTATTTGACTGCTTCTAAGTTACTTTTCTGTGACCCTCTAAAGTTTTACTATGTGTAGGTATAGATTTCCTTTTAAGGTATCCTTTTGCGTTTCTCAACGTGAGGATTTGTATTTATCAAGACTCCTAGAAAATTCTCAGCCAACATATTAAATATTTACTGTTTTCCTTTCTATTTTCTCTGAAACACCAGCTAAATGAATTTTATAATTTATTCATTTATTCTGTCTTTTAATCTGTTTTTAATTTTTTGTATCTTGTCTTCGAGCTGTTTTTTGTGTAGTATTTTTGGATTTCTTTTCTAGTATATTTTTTATAAAATTGTACATAATTTTTTATTTCATTGAGTTTTAAATTTTGTTTTTTGTTTTTTTGAAAGTTCTATTTGGCTCTTTAAAAAAGAATTTTAAAAATTAAATGCAATTTGATTCTTTTGCTGAGATAATCTTTATGATTTCTCATTACTTTCTCAAAATTCCATTTTTAAAAAACATTGAGTATTTTATGTTTTGGGGCCTTTGCTGGTATCATTTTGCTGAATTTTGTTTCTGCAGACTTTCATTTCTGATGCTTCATTTTCTTGATTAGTTTATGATTGTCTATGAGCTGATTATTTTTTCTTAGATGTTTCCTGGAGAAATGCTTTCAGGCACAGGGTGAAGTTCATTGCTCCAAAGAGGGTGTATGTTTGCTACTATCAGTCAATTGTAGCTACTTACCCACCTGTGCCTATTTTAGTTTCAACTAAACTCTCAAATATTTTGGATTATACAATTAGAGTGAATTCAAACTGCAGAACATTGTAAAGACCAATAAATCTCAAGGGAGACTTATTTTCCCTTTATTCAGAGAAATAGCCAATTTCTGCTTTGATATTTTACGATATAAGTAATTCCTATCTCTGTCCCGTTTCCTGCAAAATGTCCATTTCCTAATCCTTGGAACCTATTAATATTACTTTATATGGCAAAAGGGCTTTTCAGATGTGATTATGTCAAGGACCTTGAGATGGAGAGCTCATCCTGGGCCACATGGATGGGCCCAGTGTCATTGCAATGGACCTTATAAAAGAGATACAAGAAGTTGGGGTGATGGGAGGATGGGGCTGCAAGCCAAAGAACAGAGTAGGTCTCTCGAGTTGAAAAAAGCAACGTCTTAGACTGCTTGAGCTGTGTTTAACTATCAGATGCTGGGCGGCTGAGGCAAAGAAATGTGTTTCTCACACTTTTGGACACCAGAAGTTCTAGATCAAGATTCTTGCATGTTCAGTTTCAGGTGAGAACCTCATCACGGCTTGTAAGTGGCCACCTTCTTGGTATGTCCTCACACGGCCTTCCCTTGCCACAGGATCTTTTCCTTTCTCTTCCTCTTCCTCTTCTAAGTCGGAAGCCCTATCAGAAAAGGGCCCCACCCTTGTAATCTCACTCACCTTTATCTCCTAAAGATAAATTTTCAAATACTGTACACAGGATTTTTTTTTTTGTTTGTTTGGGGGAACAGTTCAATCCATAGCAAGCAAGGAAACAGATTCTTCCCTGAAGCTTCCAGAAGGAGTGCAGCCTGCCAATACCTTGATTTTAGATTTCTGGCCTCCAGACTTGGAAGAGAATAAATCTGTGTTGGTAAGTAACCAAGTTTCTGGTAATCTGTTACCACAGTGATAGAAATGAATAGGTTCCTTTTGATATTTTTTGTTGACCTTGCAATGTGAGATGAGTGACCTTTGGAATTCCGCCTTTTCTAGGAAAACGTGATAATCTTCTATGAAACTACCCACTTTGGGTGGTTTGGATCTACCCTCTGGTGCTCTGTGCAGCTGCAGGCGGGAGCGAGCAGGTGCAGAGCTTCCCAGAGGCCTTTGCGGTGGAAAGATGCTTTGGCGCCCTCACCCACCCCACCTCTCTGTCATGCTTTTTTTTTTTTTTTTTTTTGGTGTCTGTAGACTTTCTCTCTGACAACTCATCAGTGCTTTTTACAAATCATGTTTTTAATATCCAGCATTTTAGCTGTTTCAATCAGGTGGGGTTTTCAGTGTGAAGTCTGTCACAATGCGGGAAATCAAAGACTAGGGAGCCTTTCATAATTACTTTCCAAAGTGTTCCGCACGCTGCACAGTGGGGTATACAGATGTCATCAATATCTATCTTTCTTACTGGCCCTCTGAAGCCTGGAAGTTCCCTGAAGCTGGAATCTCTCAGTCAACTTCTTATAGAGAGTGAGAACTTAAATACTAATGACTTATATCATGGGCTCCTTAGAGACTGTTTTTCTAAACAATTCATTATCTACTATTCATAAAGCATTTCCTAGGAGGGAAGGATTTGGCTGCCAAGTTGCACTTGAGGAAATAGCTATTGAAACTGACCCTGTTTATACTCTTGTGTCATAATTATCTGGTGGATAGTTTTTAAAGCTTTGGGTAGCTTTCTTCTTTTCAATTTTCAAAATGCAAAGAAGTCTGAAAAAATGACATGAGTTGCATCTACTATTACTGTGCCTCTCCTAGATTTTCCTCTTTTTTTTTCAGTATGCAGGTTGTCAACTAATTTACTCAGAGCTTCTCTGTGTTTAACTCTGTCAAGAAAAATAACCCTGAAAATCATAGAGGGAAATGATGAGGCGCGGGGTGGGGATGAGGGGCAGCAACTCAATCAGATCGATGACAGTTTTTCTTATCCCACCTGAATCATCTCTGTGAACAAAGGGAGGTTAGTTTCTTTTTATATCCAGCATACCTTAGAGCCAAGCATTTTACTGCCAGAGCTACATTTCGTGATTTTCTTTTTGCCCGTAATAGTATGTGTTTTGTAATAGCTTCAGTAAAGAAGTCATTGTGGTTGAGTCACAGATCATGTTTTCTAAAAAGTCCATTTTCTATAAGGATGTCAAGACAAGCCCCTAAAATGCTTGAGATCTAGAGAATAAAACCTATTAATAGTTCAGTGGCGTGCCAGTGTGCCCATTTTAAATACAAGCGGCAACGCCCAAATGTTTGGTGTTATTAGATTGTAGCATTTAGCAATATAAATTGGAAACATGGAAACAATGTAAATGAATATACTTTTCTGGGTGAATTCTGAGGACTGTCTCTGGGAAATCAACTTTATTGGAATATGTGCTATAGTTAGAATGTATTTACGCCAGTGAAGTTGGGGGGACCCAGATGTGGAGTTATTTTGTTTTACCATAATCATTGGAAAAGTGACTACATTCTCAGTTTATTACATATTGATGAAGCATTTTGAAAAAGAATTGCTGCTGTATCCACTATGTACAGTTTTTTAAATAAAAAACTACGTATTGGCTTCTAGTCTTGTTCTAAAGTGAATATAAGATTTATGTAAAATTTTATTTTTTAAGATATTACTTTGCAACTTAGTCTCACTGAAAGAGAATTTTTTTTCTTTTTGCTGGAGAAAATTCGTTTCCTGAACTGTTTATTATACCATATATTTTTTCTATGAATCTCCCTTGCCCTTTATATGGTTTTCATTTCTCAACAAAAGTAAGTGGCTCGTTTTTAGTATTTTATAATGCTGAATACTACAATACTCAGACATTTTACTCCCTGCTTGGGGAAACATCTTGTTATGTACATTATGATGTGGGGTAATCAACACGGAAGGCAGTAGTCAAGAAAAGGTTTTAGATAATTTAAGTATGTTTTCACTCCTTTTTACATTATATCCTCAGCACAGTTTAAACTTTATTTGTCCTTGAACTGCTTTGCAGGCTAAGCACAGTCTTTGCCTGAAGCTGGTGTGGGCAGTCAAGAACTGTGAATTAGACTATAAATTACTCCTTCCAGTGTACATGACTACACACTTCTATTTGGTGAATTTCAGATAATGGTAGGAACGTTCTGAAGATATTTCTGACTCCTGCTCTCATCTCAATGATGAGTAGTTGTGTTACAATGAGAGCACCTTCACCGAACTCTGCTCCTTCACCCAGCCCGCTGGCTTACCCAGACCCTCTGTCCTTCAGTCAGGCACTGCTCTAAGGCCCCTGGCGTTAACCCCGCAGAGCAGTGAGCCGTATATTAGCACATCCACTTCTGCTCTCATCCACTCTTTTACCTACCAAGGATCGTTTGGCTGTGCTAGGATGAAGTCTTGATTTCCCAAGATAAAAAGAAAAGGGCATACTCTTTATAAAGACCTACTACTTGCAAAGGAAGTATAATTATTCAAACATGGGGCTTTGCTTTCTCATCTGCAATAGGGAAAGTTAGAAGACAGTTAAAATCCATAGCTCTTGAAATGGAAGGCGTTTAACCCGATAATCTTATGCAGTAAGGCCATAATTCATTTATGAGGGTAAAATAACATTTTTTTGAACATGGAAAGATTCAACAAGTAACATGAATGCTACCTAAAGAAAATACTGAGGAATTTAATGTATTCAAATGAGAATTTTTTTTTTTGTTAATCAGTGAGAGCTTGTAATGTTGCTCAGATTGGCCTTAAACTCAGGGCCTCGCCGCCTCAAGCACCAGGACATCTGGCCGGAGCCACTGCGGCCCCCTCAAATGAGAATTAATTCAGAGCAGATTTCAAGATAGAAGAAGTAAGGAAAAGGAAAGCATTGTGAGCAGTGACTCTTGTAAAATACATTTGGTTAAATCTAATATGGGCATTTGAAATGGAGATACTAGGTAAGATTCTTGACATGTCTGATTACGCTCAAGGGATATAAGCTATTGCACAAATGCATTTCAATAATATTTACGTCTTTAGATCCAAGAGGTGGACAGCATGGGGGAAATAAACACATTAATCTTCTCAGTAAATCTTTCAAGCACATGCTCTAGGCTTTATTTTAGGCACCGACGTAGACAGCTTACCATTTTATGTGTCCGTTCTAGTAGAGAACTGTAGGGTCGTGGGGTGTGTCCCCTATCGCTGTGCTGAGGCGCTGGATCTGGGAGAGAAAGAGACAAGACACCAAAGAACAGAATAAGAGCAGCTGAGCTCGAGGGGCCGGTGCCACTTAGAAGCGGAGGCAGGCAGGCCCGTGCGTCCACTGTATTGATTAGGTATAGGTTGGGGGCGAGGGTAGTGAGTGAGGTCATCCTAGAATAGAAATGGAATTAAATAACTCATCACTAAGGGTAGTGATGGGGTCGAGACAATCACGTGAGCAATAAGGGGTCCACCCCGGTAGGTCACCGAGACACCCAGGTGTGCAGCAGGGAGAGTGCAGTGCGCAACATCTCTTACCTCGGGCAGGCCTCTTCTAAGGATTTCTGTGGGAGGAGACTGAGTCAGCACAGCAGCAAGAGAGCTGACAAGGTGTACAGCCACCGGGGCCTACAGCCCCTCGGACGTTGGCCGGATTGCCGGCCTGAGGCCAGCTTTCCACCAGAACTGGACAAAAGATACATCAACTCCCTTCCGGGAGGACTGACTCTGGCTCCAAGCCTGCCATACAGCAGGTGTCGTTCAGGTGCCTTTATGATGCTGAGCTCTGCTGCCTGGGCTGGCCTGCCAGGTAGCACATGCCCTTTCAGGCTGGGGCACTACCGCCTGGGCTACTGATCCTTGTCCCGGTGTGGCCGTTTTTCCCTGGTTCATGCTCTGCTCTAGATACTCCTCTGACTGCAAACTAAGATATGATTGTATAAAAGGATTATATATATAAGGAAATAAGCAGTTATTTATATATATAATTATATATAAGGCAAACTGAGAATCACAAAGTCTGCAGATACTGGAATTTATCTGCACACAATATAAACAAAATGTTTGCTTAAAGAAACAAGGTGTATCTAAATTATCAAATACTAAAAAATGATCAGTTGTGATAAAATAGCTGTATAGAATTTATACAGATTTTTTCAAAAAGCTATTTTTTCAAAAAGCGATTTTTTCAAAAATTTTTTTTCAAAATGGAAATTTTATCAGATAGCTAAAGCTGAAGGGAGAATCATCCAAAAATAGACGAGAGACAAAGCAAACTGGCATGAGAGGAATAAGGGATACACGTATTAGAACTATGGCTGAGAATTTTCTAGAATTGCTGAAATACTACATTAATCAGATTCGGAGAACTCAACATACTCCAAATCAATAAATCCATAGAACTAGGCATTTGGTAGAAAAACTACAGAGCAGCAAAAGGGAAGCAATAAGGAATGACAGACTGGCTGGATCTAGTCAACAGTACAAATCAAAGCACAGTGCAAAATCTTCAGAAGGCTTAGAAAAATGAAATTATATACCCATTAAGTAAAACTGCTTTTCAAGAACAAGGGCAAAATAGATATTCTTCAGGCAACATTAAAATACCAGTTTTAGTGTATCTAAAACATGTACTTAAAGAAATATTCCAGAAGCAAGCATTAGAAATGCAAAAAAAAAAAAAAAAAAGCTAGGAAAGAAATCTGTAAACAAATGCTAATTATACAAACACTACATATACTGTCTAATTTGTGATTTTTAAAAATAAAAACTAAAAGAGGGACAGAAGTAGCATATTGAGAAACAGGTAGTGTAGCGTTAAGCACTTAAAGATTTTCATACAAGCTAGGAGAAGAGATAAACGTGGGTTCTACGTTTTAAAACTACATGTGCTTATTGAATCATTTTAGGGTTTCTCTGATAGGATAGAAATGGAATTAAATAACTCATAGAAAAGGAAAACTAAGAAATTAAGGGAAAACTGTAAAGATCATGAGAAATTAGCACCTGATAATGGTTTGGCTGTGTCCCTGCCCAAATCTCATTTGAATTCCCACGTGTTGTGGGAAGGACCTGGTAGGAGGTGATCAAATCATGGGGGCAGATCTTTACTATGCTATTCTTGTGATAGTGAATAAGTCTCACGAGATCTGATGGTTTAAGAAGGAGGAGTTTCCCCGCACAACTTCTTTCTGCCTGCTGCCATCCATGTAAGACATGACTTGTACCTCCTTGCGTTCCCCCATGACTGTGAGGCCTCCCCAGGCACTTGGAACTGTAAATCCATTAAACCTCTTTATTATGTGAATTTTCCAGTCTTGGGTTTGTCTTTATCAGCAGTGTGATAATGGACTAATAAAGAAAATTGGTACCAGGTGTGGGATGTGACTGAAAAGATAGGCAAAAATGTGGAAGCAACTTTGGAACTGGGTAATAGACAGAGGCTGAAACAGTTTGGAGGACTCAGAAGACAGGAAAATGTGGGAAAGTTTGGAACTCCCTAGAGACTTGTTGAATGGCTTTGACCAAAATGCTGATAATGATATGGACAATGGGATCCAGCCTGAGGTGGTCTCGGACGGAGATGAGGAACTTGGGAACTGGAGCAAAGGTGACTCTTGTTATGTTTTAGCAAAGAAACTGGCAGCATTTTGCCCCTGCCTTAGAGATTTGTGTAACTTTGAACTTGAGAGAGATGATTTAGGCCATCTGGCAGAAGAGACTTTCTAAGCAGCAAAGCATTCAGAGGTGACTTGCATGGTGGTAAAGGCATTCAGCTTTGAAATGGAAGCAGAGCATAAAAGTTTGTAAAATTTGCAGCCTGACAATGCAATAGAAAAGAAAATTCTAATAATTGCGCAGACTCAGGTGTCTCTTTATTAGCAATGTGAAAATGGACTAACACAGCAACATGGGAGAAGAAAATTAAAAGTACTATGTAAGATGTTAGAAGTGATTCCATGTATTAGTGATAACTGTACACATAAATATAGTAAGTGTCCATTTAAAAGAACTTTGATGTTTAATTAACAGACTGTTAAAAACAATATTGCTTTTTACAAAAGACACAGTTAAAACATGAAGGTACGGAAGACTTTGAAATAAAGAGACGGAAAAAGAATGAAAAGAAAGATGGTGTAGCTATTCAAATATCACAAAATGCATTCTGACAAAAATTATTAGAGATAGTATCATACTCCATATTGATGAAGAATTCAAATACCTAGAAGATACAACATTTATTTATACACCTACTAGCTTCAAAAGATGGAAAGCAGACATTGACAGAGCACAAGGAAACTAATGACCTTCACTGTCCTAGTGGGAGACCCTAATACAAACTCTGCGATTGTTAAACAGATAATATATCAGGATATAAAATATTTGAGCAGCACAATTAGCGGTATTGATCTGGTAGACATATATAGAACATTGCATGAAACCATTGAATACATGCACTTCTGAAGCACACAGGAAACATTACATAAATCGACCATTTAGGAAGATATTTGCCATCAATACATTTCAAATGATTGAGACTCTGTTCATACACTTTTACCACAATATAATTAGGTTAAAATGGCAAACATAAAGATAACGAAAAACTCCAGTGGCAGCAAGTGCTGATTATCCTCCAGAATCCATTCTTTCTTTTAGAACTAAAATTTGTGAAGGTTTGGCTGGGAACATGGTGCTTCTGCCTACCTTGTAACTAACTTCTGGAAATCAAGTTTTGGAGTGGGAAGTGCTTGATGCAACTTCCTCGTGGCATGTTTTGGAAAGGAAGTGGCTCGTAAGTCATGTTTTCTCTTTGCTTTTACCCACAGACTGGGATGCAGGTAAAGTCTGGGTGAGGCAGCCTCTTACAAAGGAGGCTCTTAGACCCTAGTGGTTGGGAGAACAGAACAGTAAGACAGACCAGCTCATGGGGCAGAGCAGCCACTTAAACGGGGTCTGCCCCTAACCGAGTGAGAAGTAAACGTCATTGTTTTTGAGCTACTTTATTTTTAGTTATGTTACAGCACCTTAGCTTACGTCATAGCTAATTCAGGCTCTCACATACATGGAAATTAAACACACTTCTAAGTAATTAGGAATCAAAGAAGAAATCAAAATGGAAACTAGGCTCTACATAGAACTAAAGAGTAACACAAACGTATTTTTGCTTCCTTACTTGTGCATATATGTGTGTACGTATTTTGTGGCCTGCCATTAAGGCAGCACTTAGAAATTATAGTCTTAAGTGCTTGTTTAATAGGCAAGGGCAAGCCTGAAATTTCATAAGCTAAGGATGCATTTGAGAAAGTTAGAGAAGGGAATGAACACCAGGGAAGTAGAAGTAAGACCGTGTTGAGTAGGCAGACAAAAATCCAAAAAGAATTAATAAGCAAAAAGTTTCCTGAAACATTAATGAAAGTGACAAACCTCAGGCAAAACTGATTAAAAGCACATGGAAAAGACATTAGAAAAGGAAAAGGGATGTGGAAGTGATGTGGCAGAAATTCAAAGATAAGGTATTTTGAAAGATTTCATGTCAAAAATTTGAAAACTTAGGCAAAAGTGACCGAAATTGAGTTTAGTGTCCACAAAGAACAAAGGAGAAACTTAGGTTAAAAACCAGAAGAAACCGTCAGGCTTTGCTTGGGAGCCGAAAGGCTGCACCCTGGGGCAGGGATCCCTATCCCTGGGTCACGGAGGGGCACCAGGCCCTGGCCTGTTGGAACAGGGTGGCACAGCAGGAGGTGAGCTGCAGGTGAGTGAGCATTACTGCCTGAGCTCCGCCTCCTGTGGGCTCAGCCGTGGCACTGGATTCTCAGAGAAGTGCAAACTTGACTGCGAACTGCAGGTGCAAGGGGTCTAGGCTGTGCCGCCTCCTGAGAATCTAGCTCTACCCCCGTCATTTGTGGAAAAATGATCTTCCACAAAACCAGTCCTTGGTGCCAAGAAGGTTGGGGAGCGCTGCCCCGGAACCAGGAGAAGCAGCAGAGATACAGCACCCTCCGAAGGCTGGGTCCTCCCACTGCAGCCGCTCAGCATGTGCCCAATTTTGCCGCATCCCGGGATTGCCGATGTTCATGGTGATCACTTGATTAAGGTGTTCTGCCTGCCAGGCTTCCCCACTGTGAAGCTATTCTTTTCCCTTGTGATATTAATGAATGTCTGATGGGGAGAGGTACTTTGAAACTCTGTAAACAATCCATTCTTCATCAAACTTTCCATTAGTTTATGTTAGTATACACTTAGAGTTTACTATTTTGTTAAGTGGGTTAATATATTACTATTACTTATTTTGATGTTAAGATTTTCCTGATTTAGCTAGTCCGCTGGGCCTGGATGAAGGTGGGGAATAGACACACAGGGCATAACTTTAAGGAGGCATTCATTCCTAGGATTATGCAAGTGAAGGGCTGTTATTCATATGATCCTGTGAAGGAGTGTCTCCTTAAATTTTGCCTTCTGGGTATCTTTCTTCCCTGGTCCTGACCTTCTTGTGAGGCTAGCTTTCTGTGTCATTTTGGCATGTCCCCCTCAGTCCCCTCAGTTACGTGAGCACAAGATGTTCCGGGTTTATCTCATGCTTACCTTGTCCTAGCCTTAGAATCAATTGCTTGTGCAAGAGTCCTGGTTTCTGTTAAGGGGAAATGGAATTGAGAATTCAAAATCTAGGCACTTACTGTGCTCTTTGATTTGGGGGCATTGGTGATTGTGTTCACTGGCCCTGTCAGTGAGCAGAGAAAGG